TAACTGTTTGATAAATAAAAGTACTTTACTATTAGTGTTTGTATTTTGTGTAAAATATTACATTTGGCCCGCGGTCCTCCGATAGATTTTCATTTTGGCCCACTAAGGGAAAATGTTTGGGCACCCCTGTTCTAGATGAAAAATCATAGGAGGTAGGTTGAAGTTTGTTGAAGTTGGTTGAATACTTTTAAGTGGCACACTGGATGTCTTCAGCAAGTTTGGAGGTTTTATGTTGAAGACTGACTGAATGGGAGCAGTGTGAAAAAATTCTCCATACAAGTCTATGGGGAAATGCGATGGAAAGAGGCAAGAAAAAGAAGGATGCAGGTGCAATATCAAAAAGATAAATACAAGCACACTTGTATTTTAGAAGTGGAGTTTCTAGGTTAAAAAACTAGAAGGGATCAAAAATCATGGGAATAATAATAAAAGTAATACATAAAAAACTTCAGAACAATATGGGAATACTTGCTCAATCACATAATGAATTGAATTAAAAGAATAAACTGAAATTTTTGACTGCACATTGTGGGAATGACAAAATTATCTGGACATATGGATACGCATGTGGATGGGTAGATGGATGGCCAGATGTATAGTTTTACACATTTTAAAGTATTTGATATTGATTTTGGGAAACATTGTGGTGATAAATCTGCAGAATGTGGTTCTTGGTGCTCCCCTTTTAAAGAGGCATTGTGAGGGCAGCTCAGAGAGCCCAGCCCAGGAAGCTGAACATTAAATCTGTCCTTAAACGCTCCCCCTGTGGTCTCCACTTACTCTCCCCACCCCTCTTCACTTAAATCTACCACCAGGCCTGTGAAAAACACCACCAGACGGGAAGCATGCCAATCCACAGGGACTCTGCCCAGAGCCACGGCGCTGCTAAAACTAACCCAGAACTGGCCTCAATTCAGAACTCTCTGGCCTTTTTTCAGGGCCCATCCATTCCCTGTTCACTGGGGAGAGACAGCTCACCTCCTTTCAGACTCAGCAACAGCCCCATGGGTTGATCAAGACACCATTAAGATTTAGAATGGGACTAACAAGAAGATAGTTTCCCAGCTGTGATCCTTCAAGCTCAGCCCCCCTGCATCTCTGCCAGCAGTCACATGCCTTCGGCCTGTTTACATAGACTCCCCAAGTCTGTGAGCCCACCCTCCTTCTCCTCCTCCCCTCCATGCCTCACTTGGCCAGAGTAACAGGCTGCCTCCGCCCATAGCCTGAGAGCGAGACAGAGAAGCGGAGAAACGTGGTGAGAGCCCTCGAAGAAGGCCGGAGTTTCCCCTGCAATTCTGACAGCCAAGTGCTCCACTTTGCAGTGAGTACCTGTTGCATGCCTTGCAGGTCAGGGTCTTGGTTGTGTTGTCAAGTTTGTTTCTGCAACTGTAGCTGAGCAAAATTATTTGAAATTAAACACACCAAAAATTCATGAACAGGTTTCACTAAGGAAGATATGTTGAAAGATAGCGTTGCTTTACTTGGATCGTTTTTTAGAGTAAAGAATTATTCTTCCTTTTAGAATTCAGTGCCTGGGTCTATTTTAGTCTGTCTTGCGTCGTTTGTAACAATTACTGTCAAGTTTTACAACAAACAAAAAAGTAACTGCCATCCTTCATGACCATTTTGGAACGGTATCAATCAGTTTATTACAAACTAAAATGGTGCGTCCTGCCTCGATTGTCTTCAAAGCTTGTATATAAGTTAAAGATTCTGTGCATGGAGGTCATTAGGACAGTGCTTCATAGCTGGGGTGCCACGCAGCTGTCAAATCTGCCAGATCTTTCGCTAGAAGGACAGACAGACTTGGACCACAGTCATGTAGCCTGTTTACTATGTTTTTAAAATACCACACTCTATATGAGTGTATTTTACAATCACAATATGAGTTTTGACTGTAAAAAATAATTCAGGTATAAAATATGACATTTGTTCTTTGTGAGCCCAACTTTCCAGGAAAGTTTCTGAAAGGTAATAAAGTACTGGCTTAGATTAAATTATTTTTATGCATTGTTTAGATGGACTAGAGAAACATCCTATACAGTTAACAGATATTGTGTCATTTTATACCCTCTCATTTTTTCTCTAAATAGTCTAATTTATATCCCTTGAAATGTTACCAAAGAAATCGTATTGCAGTTTTTCTGCCACTTAGGTACATTTCTTGAATCATCCTTAACATTTGCAAAAAGTGCATTTCTCGAATTAAAACAAACTGCACCACACAATGTGTTACCTGCAAAAGCCTGTAACTTGCTCAAAATCCTTAGTTCATCCCTCAAAAGTAAATATTTATGTCATTGAACTTATTGCCATCAGAATGACAAGTCCTTGTGTCATTGATCATGAACCAGATGGTCAAAATGCTTAGCCATGCTGTTAATAGAACAGTGCGCTCTGTAAGTACTTTCCGATGTGAACTATGGCTAAGGTTTTGATAACAATGAGTGAAAATGCCCAAGGTTGTACTTTTTCTGTATGGTGTTACCTTTACTGTAACACACACACAAACATATATTTTATAAGTACACATACATATGTGTGTGCAACAGTATATGTACAGTATGTAACTATAAAGTAAATTTACTGTGTACTAGTGCTGTAGTTCTCGAGACCGGTCTTGGTCTCGAGACTGGTCTTGAGACCAATTTTTTGTGGTCTCGGTCTTCTCTTGGTCTCGACCCTATTTGGTCTCGGTCTTGTCTTGGTCTCGGACATAGCGGTCTCG